CTTTGAAATACTTGGTTTCTGTGAGAGTCACCTTTACAAGGAGCTGTCTGTGCAGGAGAATCGCGTTTTCACTGTCCTGATCCCAGGAAAGACAGACACGAGTCTCACAGTGAGAACTGACTCATTTCCACTTTCAGAGTGATCACTACGTCAAGGTGATTGTCTGTGAGGAGGTCCTTGTGCATACAGAGAAGCATGTTACAGTTGGTCCTACATAAGGAGATGACAGAGTTCTGCCTAGGGCCTGTCTGAGGATGCGTGAGCCCAGGTGGAATCACAGATGAGCTCAGGGAGGCAGGCCATTCTTTCCCAGGAACAGAGGAGGGACCAGAGCTGGCACCTATCCGAATGCTCTGTCCTTGTCCTCTCAGTGACTGCAGATCCTGTTCTTCCTGCTTGTCACTGTTCTCTCGCTCTGTCATCTGGAAACAGAAAGGGTTGGGGGCTGGAAAGAAAAGCCAGAATTATAGTCCTGTGGCATTGTCTGGACTCTGCACAGTGACCAGCAGGTGTCTGTCTTTTCGTGTTGTGTTCTAGTAAGGAGCTGTGGCCTGTAATGGACAAGTGGATCAAGTACAGGAAAGGACATTCGAACATTGCATACACCCCTGATGTCATCGTAGCGTCTGTGCTGAGACTGATCGGTGAGTGGGTTTGATGGTGGTTGTCGCCCTTGTGCCTAGATCTTGATGGGGACTAAGAGTACACGAAAATACAGTGTCTGTTCACACTGTCAGACTGTGGACTAAGTATACTAACACACACTGTTCACACTGTCAGACTGTGGACTGAGAGTATACTAACACACAGTGTCTGTTCACACTGTCAGACTGTATACTAAGAGTATACTAACATACAGTGTGTTCACACTGTCAGACTGTGGACTAAGAGTATACTAACATACAGTGTGTTCACACTGTCAGACTGTGGACTAAGAGTATACTAACACACAGTGTCTGTTTACACTGTCAGACTGTGGACTAAGAGTGTACTAACACACAGTGTCTGTTCACGCTGTCAGACTGTGGACTAAGAGTGTACAAACACACAGTGTCTGTGTTCACACTGTCAGACTGTGGACTAAGAGTACACTAACACACAGTGTCTGTTCACACTGTCAGACTGTGGACTAAGAGTACACTAACATACAGTGTCTGTTCACACTGTCAGACTGTGGACTAAGAGTATACTAACACACAGTGTCTGTGTTCACACTGTCAGACTGTGGACTAAGAGTA